CATTTTAACCGCCTCCCGGTTAGCTCAATGGATAGAGCGCTGGACTGTTGTGCGGGAGGTCGAGGGTTCGAGCCCCGGCCGGACCAACACTCAGGGTCTTAAAATAATTGAGAAGAATTTGCTACCTTTCTATAACATCAAGAAATGGTTAGATATTCTAGTCTTCTCGGATAGGGACGAATAAATGGAGGTCCCATCTCCTGTAGGGTTAGGGGTAGGAGACGTTAATTTCCCACGCACGAGATTACTGTGTGATGGATGTCCTCCCCTGGGGGTTGGGTGGGTCTACTGGGCCCGCAGTAATTGGCGCAAGCTGTTGCGGGATCCCTGCCGGTCGGCGAAGCTTAATAAATCAGAACTTGAGTTTAAGTTACAGTGTCATGAATAATAAGACATGGTCGGTACCATTTCTAAGGAAAAAACATTGTTTTATCCTATTCACCACTTATTGTCTCAATTCACGAAATGTTCAGGATGAAGTATGTGAATCACTTTGCAAGTGGATTTCCTTTGGTTTGAGCCTGTGTTACAATGTTTTGCGCAGTTAAAGTCACGAGGGAAGGTCCCGTATGTGAACGCTAGCCAGAAGAACTCGTATATCTCCGTCGAATAGAGGGTTCAATGTGGCAAATAGATCGAGAAATATAGGTGTGAAGGGTATCATCCAGTAAAAGTCTTAAATGAATTATATCATTTTTCGGGAAAAAAGTGGTCTCATGCACCTGGGATTGACAGAAGCCGCTCCCTTTGACGATGCAAAGAGTTTAAAGAAAGCTTATTTCCTAGATTTCATTCTCAGGAAGGCTATGGACTGAATAAGTAATTATGGTGGTTTCTTCGACAGATTGATGTTTTGGACTGATTGGGGGAACCCACCGAAAATCGAGAAGTCAGCTTTAAATGGCACCAAGCGTTTTGCAATTGTAACAACCAATCTTACGAGGCCATACGGTATCACTCTTGATCGTCGAAACAAACTTGTTTTCTGGGTGGACAAGGAAATGGACGTAATAGAATCCGTGGAATACAGTGGAAACAACAGAAAAATCCTCTTTCAGGGACGAGGAATGTTTTTTTGAGGAGTCACTTTTACCTCGTCGTACCTGTTCATCAATGAATGGCGAAAAAGTTGGGTTTCCCAAATGAATGCCTATAATGGAACAATTGTGAATAATATAACAACCGGTGGAATTTTTCCGAGCGGACTTATCGCATTTGACAGCTCGCTGCAGTTACCAGGTTTGTATTACAATTTCACAAACTACACTATGATGGATAGGTTTGATTAGAGAGCTTAACCCTTTTCCATGAAGCCACGCATACATGGTAGTAATTACTACTATTACTGTTGTTATTTGTTTGTTGTTGAAATTAAGACACAACAATATGTAAGCGTGTACATTGCAAGGCTGTCTGATGTGACACCTATTGCAGCCTAAAACACCCACAATGATTCCCGATTTCCATTGCAGTGAACCGTTCATACATCAACAAATCCCAAAAATCCAGCATTCTGCTCCAAGAGCAACACTGAAAAAGTGTCGATCTTTTAAGATCAAAACTTGCTCAGGAAATCAAAAGTTTGCATTCAAAACACACCTCAGGGCCAGATCTTGCTGTTTGCCTGGAAAATGCCTTCTCACTTTATCCGCTCGCCTTTGTTCTTCCTTTTGACGAAAGCTAGTGTCGGAAACACAACCTTTGCCTCGTTTATGACCGAAAAGAGTTCTGGGAAATTCCACCACAACTCGAGAAGGCAACACCTCACATTTCCATTTTAACAAATTATTTGCAGCGTCGGGCCACCCAGTCCTACCAGAAAAATATCACATCGATTGAGACTTTTGCCACTCAAAACTGGCCCAGAAAGCCTTGGTAGGTCCTGGCGGTAGCCATCCACAGATGGGCCAGAGACACTACTTCACTTGTGAACTCGTCAAGCTTGCATGGAAGCATTTTGGCGGTCCAGTCTACATGAAACCACCTCTCACCTCTGTTTTCTTTCAGAGGCTTGCCTCTACCCACATTCCAGCTTAATGATGCTGCCCTGAGGGCTTCTGTAGAGGGAAAATGGCTCCAAAAACACTTATAAACGCGAGAAAACGAATCGATTTGAACGCATTCAAACATGAGCGGATGATCTAGGTCACGTGATCCCAAAGTCTGAACCCACGGTGTCTCAAAACCGCAAATATTGTAAGGAATACTTCATATAACGACAAACAAAGCGAGCTTAATTTTTGTATGGCCAAATTATAAGGTTTTTTGCCTGCTAGTAAAGGGTTAAAAGCCACTTGAATGTAGATCACGAGACGGTCAATTAGCCCAGTCGAAGAATAAGAGTATCATTCTCTCCGCGTTTGTAACAACTTCTCTATCTCTAACTTTTATTTTGAAATGCTGAACGAAACAGCTTTAGTGACCAAAATGTAGACATTTAATTTGTGCAAGCTATTTTCATGATCTGACGCCATATGAAATATTAAGATTTGCGCTCTTATTGCTATTGTTATTGTAGTCCATCATCTGAAGAGTTTTTTTTTGGACTAACAACAACAGTTGCAGATAATTTTTACGGCACTGTCTTTCTTTTTTAATTGCAGCAACCACGTGTCTAGCGTTACGTGCACCGACTGATGGAGCAGTACTTGGATGTCCTGGAAATGCAGGAGCAAATTATGATACAGTCTGTCAATTCTCGTGTAACAGTGGCTATATAGGTTATGGTTCTCAAGAAAGAAGGTGTCAACACGATGGAACTTGGAGTGGAAAAGAGTTTGTTTGTCAAAGTAAGTAGCAATATATTAACTTTCCGATTAAACTTTGTATGATGAATTTTTTGAGGGGGGGGGAGGGGGTGGAGATCATACTTCAGTATTTCGTAAACCACCTTCCAGCTCAACTTTCTCCAGCTATGAAAATAGCCATTGACGATTTCTGTTAAGCTAATCAGATTGCCATTATACTGAAAAGGAAAACCCCATAAACATTTACTTTCCACGCACATAAACATACGCTTACTACAAAACTAGTTTCGTCTACAGACCTCTTCAGTTGTATGCGATGTATCGTTAAAAATTCATCTCAGATGACTTCATATAACATTGCACGAAGAATAACCTGGTATCTAGTTACATAACAATGACACTAAAGTAAAACCGATAAAACAATAACAGCGTTAAAGCAAAACCGATAAAACAATAGCAGACTAGAATGTCAGTTTCACTGTGCAATAGTCATATGATAAAATGTTCGTAGCCTCATTCACGATTGTGTGACAACAGCCCTAAGAATCTGGAAATAACTCCACTCGCTTTTCGTGTTTATCAGTCGATCTTGTTGAACTTTACTTCTTTGGATTGATTCCGAGATCTGTCTCAGCATAGCGTCACCCTGAAACACTCCCGTGACGTTCATTGTGAAGCCTGGTACGTTACCGTCATGTTTCTCATAGGAATGTCTCCATATCACCGAACTTTATTCCCTCTGTTCCAGAGCTCGCAGGTGTTATTTCCCGCGGGTGTATGCACTTCGTGATGTTTACCCGAAGTATTTATTGCGGCGGTGACACCGGTACTTCGAAAAGGCCCTTTTTCCCCGCTGCTGCAGACCAGACAGTTCATGTTGTTGCATTCATTTTCCCTGAACGGGTCTGACCTTTGCAACATCCGCTTGAGGGTCACACCTGATTGCTCGACTACTTTGATCTTGAAACCCGCTTCCTTAATCTCCTCTTTGTATAGAGTTTTTAGCAGAGACTGGGGTTGCTGGCACGAAGATCGCTGTGTCAAACCCTCCCTTTCTGTACCACGATTCCCGCTTTCCTCGTCTCTCTCGATCCCGCTCTAGTTTCCATTCTCTCGGTCTGTGCAAGGGTTGCTCACCACTCGCGTCGAGTTCTATCATACGATTGTATGCTTTCAGTGCTGACCGTACAATGTCCGTTCTGAACTTCTGATCATAGCCAGAGTACTGTAGGCGTAACATCATGTGGTTCACGTGGCCGACAGTGGTTTCCCAGGGTAGCTCTCTGCTGCCGTTGAGTAATATCCTCAAGACCTCTTGAGTGAGTATGGTTCTCTTACAGCTCCAAGATGAGGCCGATCTGATACTGATCACAGACTTTGATGCTACATCCTTGGAATAAAACTCGTGTAAAACCACATTTACTTTATCTCCTCCCTCCCCCACGCTCTGTATCTGCCTCATCTCCATCCAAACTTTCGAATCAAGGTTGGGTAGTTTGCCATCTACATGTTGCGAAGGGTAATCAACTTCTAACGAAATGTAAGGGTAAACACTCAGAATGATCAGATTGCAATTAGTATCAAATGCGTAGTAATGTTGTCCGTCTGTTTGTTTTGTTTACTTTGTTTTTTCGTTTCGCATTTTTAACAAAAGTGGAAATAATTCTCAGGATTCAGTCAAAACATTCTGTGATGAACTTAACATTAACGGTCATATTTACAGACAGAGTTAGATTTTTCGAAGAAGGAGACGATCGGAACCTAGAGAAAAGGGTACTTTCAATAGCTTTTCATAGCAACCAATTTCTCGCTTCAGATTTAGTCAGTGACACAGACGTAACATGATCATTTATAAGACAATCATATTGATTTTTATCATTTAGCTGTTACATGCACGTTACCGACAAATGGTGTACTCTTGGGATGTAAAACAAACACAACAGAGATGTCATATAACGCAGAGTGCAGGTTCTCTTGTAAGGAAAGCGTTGAAGAGATGAGTCCAACGGTGAGGATATGTGCAGAAAATGGAAGCTGGAGTGAGACCGACGTTGGCTGTACAGGTATAACATTTGCGAACACTTACTTTTGGAGAGCTTTTTTCTCTTGTCCTAAACGTATTGATGATCTTGGATATGAGACGAATCAGTTTAAGATTCTCAATAGTCTTTCTAAGGTTGGCTGCGATTGTAGATTGCGACAGTAGATCTAACATTGTGATAACAATCATTTTTCTATTTCCTACACGGGCTATCTCATATAAGTATGTTTCAGGGTCAATCGATGTAACTTGCGATCTTACAACACAAATCGATACAAGATCGTCATTAGTCTTTTCAAAGTTTGCAGCGAATGTAGATCTCGATGGTCAATCTAACGACTTCGCAGCAATCTACTGTGTGGCTGGCATGCGCATACAGCTGATCCAATACATCTGCGCTTTGATCACTCGATTTACGATCGTAGAATGGATCGTCTCTGCGTCGATGTGTTCAAGACTCAGTAACGATACAATTGCCTGGTCCCTCTTATTCACTTTATCAATGATATTGATAATGAATAAGAGATGACACTCGCAGCTCCGAGGACTCTTTATTCCCTTTCAAATACTAATCCTTTGTTGAGCTTGTTTCGTTTACAGCGTAGGCTGTTATTGCAAAACGATTTACGATTCTAGGCATCTTAAGGCATTTGATCCAGACAGAGAAGTTACGAAGTCACATCTAGCCTGCCAGAGATTCAACTGACGGTAATAACTGCAGGTATGAGATTCAACTGATGCAGATGATAATGTTTTGTGGCATGAACCCTGAGGAAATACATGGATTTGAGTGAAGAACACGAGGACTAGAGTTAACTTGGTTAGGAAATAAGGTAGTTGTGCTTAAGTTGTCGAGGAGTAAAAAAGGCTTAAAAACAAAAGAAAATAAAAAGCAAAGAAAAGTTGTTTTGAAAACTAAATTGTAATATTTAGATTTTATTTCTCGTGCACAGTTTGAGGTTCGCTGAAAAACGAAGACTTTCAGGGCACCGATAAGAATACCTTACGACACTGATCGTGAGAGAAGGACAAGTGGGGAACCCATTTCATGACCTAACGTATGTAAACAAAAGAGTCACAAAGCGGGTAATTTTCTGGAGCATCGATTTCGTTTTGCGAGGCCGATTACGAAATTTCTCTGGTATTTGGCTCTGTTTATACCCAGAAAATATAAACTTATTCTCTTGCTTATACTGAATTTATATTCTTGTCAGCTTTGTCTTTGATTACTTCTCATGATCAGATTTTCCCTTTTTGTTTTTGCGCAGAGACCTAAAGAAGTCTCTCCCAAAGAATATAATGGAACAATTATTTGCTCTTGATTACTTGCTTTAAATTGGGAACTCTAAAATGGTCTCTTCTGGAGATGCACGATTTTGTAATGATTTACATCAGAGTACCTCTTGACATACTTGATCGCTTTTTTAATACCATCGGGAATGTGAGACTAAGAACGCCTATTTACTTTAGTCAATTTCCCCTTCCTCGGAAACGTCTCGCTCTTGGACTTATGTGATTAAAAATATTGCAAAAAAGAGACATATGGGGCCATATGTTATATGGGAGTAGAAAAGAATTGAAAATTTTAAATTTTTTATTGTTTTACAATATTTTGAATATTTTTAAATCTTTTTCAAAATAGTTTTTAACACCTTTTAAATTTTTTTAAAAAACTTTAAAACTAAATCAGTGAGCAGCACAGGAATAGACGAAGTTGTGACAAATTTAAAGCTGTGGCCTCCAAATATTTTTCTCGCCTTTCCTAAAACATATTAAGAAATTTTTACAACTTCGCCTGTTCCTGTTTGTAAGTCTGGCCACACCTAAATGGTCACTAGCCCACGTAATAACCGCGAACTATGGCTTATAAATACAGTCGTTTATTTTTAACTGGTAAAACTCCCTGGAGAAGTCTACGCCAGACGAAACGCGCTAGAGAATAAAGACGTTTTACGAATTACTTATTAGTAATAAGTGAGTGGGTGAGTGAGTGAGTGAGTGTAATATTGAATTCCGTTCTTGATCCAATTTTGACCCAATGTTGCCTGGTGCTGCGCAACACTCGCACATGATATAAAGTCTAGTTCTTTCCTTTTCCGATTTCTGGCCTATAGCTAGTAGCACAGTATGTTCTCAGTTCTTGCCATAAAACTACGGAAGACAGCAGTAGACGATAAGCATCTCACAATCATTTCAGGATTGCAGGCGATTATAAAAACAAACTTTTTTCTTGCAGAAATATCTTAGTAGGTTAGATCGACGCATCATAAAACTCAAGGAATATTTTTTTTCTTCAAGGAGAAGACATTTTACCGTTTAAATCGGCAGATTATGTTGATCCGAAGGTTTGATTTTTTCAGTTCTTGCGAGAACAGGTCATGACACTACAAGGACTACAAAGAGCGATCGCATCTCAAATTAATTTCACACTGGCATCCACCATCGCATAATTTATATCAAAAATTTTCCTGCAGAAATATCTTAATAGATGTGATCTGCACATCATGGAATTTTTTAACGATTTTTTTTTATTATTTGGAAAGAGGGCACTTCACTATTTCAATCAGCTACTTAAGCCAAAAAGAACCGTAAAACTTGCGGAGCGAGCAACCTGTTAATTCTTACCATTTAGTTGTTACTGGTTGAACCTCATGTAGCGTTTACGGCGACCAAAATCTAAATTCTCAAGTTCAAGGGCGTGTCGCTCCAAAACGCGGTTAACGAGGTGTTTGGGACTATTTTACTTATTGAAATGACAACCCAAAGTTGACTGTTTGCACGAATCTTTATTCTTGAAAGGCAATCGACCACAAACCCCAATCAATGACGAAAATAACGATTATTCTGATCGTCAATCAATCTATTGAACGATTGATCGTAAACTGAAACAACAATACAACGAAGTTCTATCAATCTAACGAAAAGCCGCGGAATACATGATCAAAGAATCGCGTGTCAAAGACTGGGCTCTAAAGTCTATAACGAGATTAACAATACAAGTAAAAACAGAACTAAAGTTTGGAAACAAATTAAAATATTTTTGATGACTGATAGACAGCCCATTGTTCTATCTAAATGATGGGCGTTCACTGACTCGCAAATTGACACGAATTTGGCCTTTAAATCTTAAATCTATACAGATCATTGCAATATTTGTTTCTATATTGTCGCCCAACACTGAAAAGACTGGGAAGGAAAAAACAAAGTTACAAAGGTACTCACATATCGGTCCCGCTCGTGCCAGAGGTTGAGAAAACGAAAGGGCGAACGTTTACCGAGGCTATTCAAAACTTACGAAGAACTGATTAAAGGGACGCTAGATTTGCCTTTTATATGCGCGTGGTGACGCTGAAAGGTCCGATTACAAAACCAATAGAAAAACAGAAAAACAGATAAGCATTGTAACTATGTGGCTATCTAAGATCATTCTGAAATTAGTGAACTAATCAATAATCAAGCAAAAAATGAGCCTTCTGGCTAATGTCCTTAACACTCAATCAGACAACATATTCTTGAATCTGAATATTCGGTATCATCTCTCGTGGAACAGGGTACTCATAAATATGTGGGATGCGGCAAGTTTTTCTGTTTTGCATGTGAGACGAATATTTTGCAACTCTACCTTCTAGTGTCATTATACAATCTCGAATTGTTCTTAATGATATTAAAATTGCGCTAGCTCAGTAGCCACATGCAGTCCTTGACTGTCTATTTTTTAGTTTGTCACCTACTTCACCGCAGCCACCATGACCGTAAAAGTACAACTTTAATTTCGGCTTAACGTAGAATTAAAAATTCATCCAATTTCATTCAGGCTACCTCAGATAAGGTAGAGCAGTAAGGAACTATAAGGATATGCCCTATTTTCGGCGAAATTATAATACTGCAAGCCAACATATCATGTACATATTCGGAAGTTCCACCCAACATTCCACAAAAAAGCGGACTCTGTTATAGTTCACACCGCCAACTTATGGTTAACGTATGAATTGAACCCTGTAAAGCCTATTTGAAGTATAATACCTTTGAAATTTCCTCTCTGATAAATTAGGGTCGATTAAAAAAAGGTGTCTTTCTAAAGATGATAATTACTCTTCGAAGAGATTGTAAATTTTATATGCTCAATTTGCATTTGAACAATTCAGTTACGGTCATTTTCTTCTTAGTCTCCATAAGAGATTTGAGACTTTTTAAAAAAAATCAATACTTTTTTTTATTTCAAATGTTTCTTGCCATTCAGCAGAGCATCTCCCTAAAGTTCATATGGCCGCTAGTGCCGTCTCTTACGTGACAATATCCGGGACTTTGAGAATCGAAGAATGAAGTCGTCACACAATTGAAGAGACGAGAATGGGCTTAACCCTTTTGGCCTGAAACGCTTAATTAACTTTCTATTTATCATCAATCGGTTTTTTTTGTTTTTGTTTTTGAACACGGAACTATACGAGTATTATTTCTTGGACTTCAGCTTATGCAATCGATCTAATTGAGCGTGAAAACTTTCGGACAGCCTATTTTTGTTAATTTTCTCTCTGGTGATTTTCGTCTCTGTTCATGCTATAATAACGTAAATTACGGAGCTTGGCACGTTAACAAACCTTTGTTTCGTTCTTCTGGCAGCTCGCTTGTTCCCGAAATTTCACTTTCATTTAACGGGAAAAAAAGCTAGAGAGAACTCCGGCAAGTTGTTGGACACTGAACAAATTATTCGCAGATGGCGTGACAGTTTTAGCTCAGTATCGTGTTCTGTGCTCTGATAAGGTAAATCTCTTATTCACCTCTGTGGAAGCTTCATCAAGGAAAATAGTTTCGTTTCAAGAAATGCAGCTGATTTTTTGGTAAGTGGGAGATTAAAATCACTTCATTCCAGAGGTTCGTTACTATCGGAACCTTTCAGTATGAGAGCTGAGTTCGGAAAAAAATGAATTTAATTAGTTGATTGCAAAACAAAATGTTCGTTTGAAAAAAGATAATCATTTCGGATATCCATACAACAAAAACACATATGAACATTTTCTAACTAACGTGAGCAGCAATGGGTGGGAAATTCCAGCGATTATTGACGAATTCTGCATCGGTGAGCTCAAGCTGTTTAAAACTTTAAATGGAAATTGCCAGCAAGCAGAACTTGGGAACAAGATAGATAATTTCCCGCTTCATGACGTTTCTGTAGAGAGTCTGTTGAGACTTCAAACAGCGAAATAAACTGCTACTTGGCAGTATGCAGTCCAAACTTCGCAATCCATCATTAGGAATCAATTAACAGCACATAAATCGTGATCGTCTCTTTTTAATGCATCACACAATATATTTTATTGATATTGACTGGCATTGACTGATTATCTCGGATTTAAGCGGGTTTAATATTTATTTAAGTTATGAATTAATTTTTTTCCTAGAGCTGAACCGTCTGCGCAACTCCTCATGTATCTTGGTTACAGCTTTTGACCGCATTATACCTTTAGATTACAATAACAACTCGGCTTTTTCAGTCACGTCTACATTATCGTACGCTGAAGCTGTGAACTATCATTATGAGCTGGGTTACATGTTTTGGAGTGATATAAGAGAGGGAAACATCAAGCGTTCAAATATGGACGGCACGAACATTAAATTCATCCACAAAGAGGGGGATAGTTATGGACTAGTAGTGGAGTGGAACCCATTGCAGTTGTATTGGACAAACATAATAAATCGCAGCATATCAGTATCAGATCTAGAGGGAAAAAACAGACGTGTCCTCGATTGCTCAAATATAGATGAACCATTTGGAATCGTTTTCGACCCACACGAGGGGTAATTATCTATTAGAGTATTAAAGGAGGCCGTATAAAATGTAGATGTTTAGACATGTGTATGTAGCGCTGAGTGAAGGTGCCAACAAGGCTGCCTAGCTCAGGGTTGAAAAAGTGGGACAAAAATGATCTACCCCCCACTCCCCTATTTTTATATGAATAGAACAGATATTTGGTTGAAGCTTCGAAATTACAGCTTCAGAGCTGAATTAGATACAAATTTTAACCCGAAGAAATATGGAGATAACAAGTTTAGGAGCACTTCTCTTTTTTTTTAACAGCCAAAGTCTGATTCAAGTGGATCTCTTCAGACCGCATTTTTGCGAGGGGTAATTATCTAATAGGGAACGAAGCCATAGAAATGTGTGTGGCACTGAGCGGGGGGTTGAAAAAGCAGGTCAAAAATGATTATGCATTTTACATCCACCCACGCTCCCCCAGCCCCAACTCCATCCCCTATTTTTTAACCAAAATAGGTCAGATACTTAATTGAAGCCTCCAAGTTACAGCTTTAGAGCTGAATCAGATCAAAATTTTAACCCAAAGAGTGTGGAGATAACAAGTTTAGGAGCACTTCTCATTTCACACAGCCAAAGAATGCAGGGAAGGAAAAGTAGAGTGAGGTCTGGTTCAAGTAGATTCCTTGTTTCCACATTTTGACGTCATCTGTCATCTATCCTCTATTACTTAACATCGAAAACATTTTGAATTCAAGATCCAGGGGAATTCTTGAGGGTAAAAACTCACCCAACATTAACATTTACACGTGTCATTGTTTCTCCATAGAATGATGTTTTGGACTGACGGGGAATCAAGACAAGTCATGAAGTCAACTTTGGAGGGAACACAGTGTGTCGCTCTAGTAGCTTCCAAACTTTTTCGACCTGCTGGCATCACTCTTAACAGATGAAACAAACTTGTCTTCTGGGCGAACTATTTTAACGATACAATAGAAACCGTTGGTTATGGAGGAAATAACAGAAGAGTACTCTTTAGATCTCAGCGTTATTCACGTCTCTGGGGGAGTAACCTTCATTTCGTCGCATTTATTCTTTAATGTATGGAGGGGAAATTGTTATAATGTAGATGCCTCCAATGGATCAGTTACCAGGAGTTTCGTGATCAACCCCAGCTCTTGAACTCGTTGCATTCGACACCTCCCTCCAGTCACCAGCTTTGTTATTCTGAAAGTGAAAGCGATATCTTTTTATGTTTTTTTGGCGATAAATGAAGAGAAGTGAAGAAAACCTATTGTATTTAGTATTACTTTGAAAATCATGCCAAACAAGGGATTTCCATTCAAGTGGCTTAGATCAGAGCGGACCCAAGCAGGCCGTTTTGCGGTCTTACTCGGCTGCGCCTCGGGAGTTCGCGACATTTTGACCGCTGTGATGACGAGTATTGTTGTCGATAAGAGTAAAAACTACGCTAAACCACTGTCGATTTGTATTTTACCACAGCATCGACGTCAAATAAAACAATTCTTTCTGTGCGTGACTTTTGCGTGACACGTTGACTGTCGCCCTGCGGCTGAATTTAATCTTTAAACAAATTTACAGATGAATAAAGGCTGATAGTTTCGAAAGAAACTGTTTGGGGCTGCGTCGGTGGGAGTAACGAAATAATTTGGATATATCAACAAAGTTAAAATGGTAAATTGGCCACCGTAACGATTACAAAAGCTGACGTCAGCTTTTGTAATCGTTACGGTGGCCAATTTACCATTTTAACTTTGTTGATATATCCAAATTATTTCGTTACTCCCACCGACGCAGCCCCAAACAGTTTCTTTCGAAACTATCAGCCTTTATTCATCTGTAAATTTGTTTAAAGATTAAATTCAGCCGCAGGGCGACAGTCAACGTGTCACGCAAAAGTCACGCACAGAAAGAATTGTTTTATTTGACGTCGATGCTGTGGTAAAATACAAATCGACAGTGGTTTAGCGTAGTTTTTACTCTTATCGACAACAATACTCGTCATCACAGCGGTCAAAATGTCGCGAACTCCCGAGGCGCAGCCGAGTAAGACCGCAAAACGGCCTGCTTGGGTCCGCTCTGATCTAAGCCACTTGAATGGAAATCCCTTGTTTGGCATGATTTTCAAAGTAATACTAAATACAATAGGTTTTCTTCACTTCTCTTCATTTATCGCCAAAAAAACATAAAAAGATATCGCTTTCACTTTCAGAATAACAAAGCTGGTGACTGGAGGGAGGTGTCGAATGCAACGAGTTCAAGAGCTGGGGTTGATCACGAAACTCCTGGTAACTGATCCATTGGAGGCATCTACATTATAACAATTTCCCCTCCATACATTAAAGAATAAATGCGACGAAATGAAGGTTACTCCCCCAGAGACGTGAATAACGCTGAGATCTAAAGAGTACTCTTCTGTTATTTCCTCCATAACCAACGGTTTCTATTGTATCGTTAAAATAGTTCGCCCAGAAGACAAGTTTGTTTCATCTGTTAAGAGTGATGCCAGCAGGTCGAAAAAGTTTGGAAGCTACTAGAGCGACACACTGTGTTCCCTCCAAAGTTGACTTCATGACTTGTCTTGATTCCCCGTCAGTCCAAAACATCATTCTATGGAGAAACAATGACACGTGTAAATGTTAATGTTGGGTGAGTTTTTACCCTCAAGAATTCCCCTGGATCTTGAATTCAAAATGTTTTCGATGTTAAGTAATAGAGGATAGATGACAGATGACGTCA